CCACCCCCCTCAAGCCTGCCAACCCCCACATCCTGCAAGCCACTCCCATTTTTACTAGCATTCACTGGTGCTGGGAGCCAAGGAAGTAAGTTGGGGTGAGGGGAAAGGCAGGTGAGATGGGGGGGATTGGTTTGCCAGGGGAGGTTGTTAATCTAAGGGTTGGGGATCAGAGGGCTAAAAATAGCCCCCAGTCCCAGTGCGGGGGGAGAACCCCCTCATCCCTCCCCAAGCCCCCTGCAGATCCTGCTTGCCTCCTGCCCCCACCTCCATTCCTAATTTACCTTAGATTGGGTGGCCTTTTTAAACTGATCTAACCTCCCCCAAACTCCCCAAATAGCTCTACATACCCCTAGGAAACAAGACCACCTCTTGCAGCACTGCAGGAAAAATGAACTGCACTGCAGAACATGGTCTTAATTTCTTCTGTTACAGGTCATGGTCCACAGGCCTGTTGCCTCCTTGTTATATTTCTGTTTCATTCTTTGTAACCTGACTTGTCCCAGAGTCCTCTGAAAAGATTTCTTGTTTAAGTTCTGTTCTGGATCCCTGCATGATACAAGCATTCAACTGTTTGAGAATAAACACAGTTTAGCAATGAAGACCACATTCACCCTGATTGCACAGTGGAAACAGAGCAATTGAGACCTAGATCAAATAAGATTTTTACTCTAAGTTGCTTCCGAAACTAAGGGTAGTTTTATACTAGTGTGACTCTAGTGATGACTTAGTGGAAGAATTTGTTCATTTTTTAAACAAACTAGCTAACAAGCAACTTTGTGTCCTATAGATAATTCCAGTGAATGACTTCTGTAAAATGGAATGTATGCCAGAACAAATACATTTTAGATGAATACTGCAGAATATCACTGAAATGCAAACTGTGAACTGGCATATACTGTCAGGCAACTGTAGGATTTTCACTGAACTAACAAAATCAAATGCATGATTAATGCTATCGTTCTCTCATATAATTATAATTATAATAACAACTCCTAATGCTCCTTAAAAATCCTCCATTGCACGTAGTTTCAAGAAAGCCTCCAAGGACTTCACAGGACAGTTTGATATGTGCTAGCATATCCTATTGCTGAAGGAATTATTTCCTAATTGTCTCTAGTTTGTATTTTTAGACCTGCTTTGCCTTCCTGCTGCTTTTCTGAAGATGGAGATTCTGGTAGCTCACCATCCTTCTTATTTCTTCTGCTGGTACTGTTGGTGGTCTTTCTTGCTGCTTTTTTAAATTTGACACCTTGAAAAGAAGACATTGTCACTTTATAAAGTGCCTCCACCTTTCACCCTGAAGAATTTCCTAATGGTTTATAGCCTTTCTATTCTAGATTAGTACATGATATGCGCTTGTAGTATCCTCTCATTTTTGCTGTATCTGAAGTAGGACCATGGTATCTTTTGTGACCTGCTGCATAACTGACTATTATGGAAGTCCAAAATCAACTGCAAGCTCAAGGTTGCTATGATGTTTCTTAAAAGGTATTAAAGACAAATCCTCTGTGCAGTGAACTTAATGCCATTGTTAAATTATAATCCAGCAAGGAATGCTCTATCTTTAATAATTCTTTGCATTTACAAAGTCAGGTCTATTAATTACAGTAGGAAAGTTCCCTGTGGACACCATCACCTTTGGGTCAGGCTCACAGTACTTTTCATCTGTAAATCCTGGGACATTTTCCAAAGGGTGATAAGCATCGTTATTTCTGTGCCATGGACAGGGCAATAGAATGGAGAATTGGTTTGTCTGTTGTGGGGCAGATGAGTGACAAAGCAGGAATCAGACTTTAGGTTTCTAAACGCCTAACCCCCTGGACAGCCCTCAAGTGAGATAAGGTGAAACAAGCTTACTTTGTTTCCAGGCATATTCTGCAGCTTTGGGAGCTGTTAGCATGGCAAAAGGGTGCAGTGAGAGGTTGAAAGGGTGAATCCAGTGACCCTAGAAGGACAACAGCATTCACATGTTAATATATGGTCTGGAATAGCCTGCCGCAAGAGGTGGTTCAAGCACCTACTTTGAACACCTTCAAGAGAAATTTGGATGTTTATCTTGCTGGGATCCTATGACCCCTGCTGATCCTCGGGCAGGGGGCCGGACTCGATGATCTTCTGAGGTCCCTTCCGGCCCCAATGTCTATGAAATTTGAAATATTTGGCATGTGCTGTTTCAGGTAACTAAAAATTGTTTGTGTTTACTGTTTCCCAGAGCATTATTATGAATCACTGGTATTTTCCCTTTATTCTGAATTGATTATTTTTACCTTTTCCACCATCTCTCCTTCTTCTATTCGCCTGCCACGTCGCATTCTCTGTGCTAGTTCACTTGTGTATTTCCTTCCCAGAACCACCCATCCTAGCCTTCAAATAAGCAACGAACCTCTCCAACCTCATCACCAGAAGCAAACTTCCTATGGCCTAAAATACACTGAATGGATCCACACCATGCCATGACAAGAAATGTAAAACCTGCCAACACATCTCCACCACCCCCACAATTACTACACCCCACAACATCGCCATCAGCATTCCTGGATCTTACACCTGCACCTCCAGAAATGTAATCGTAACTAGACTGCCAATGTGGACTCACCAGATTGGCTTGAGATACTTACCCTAGGCTAGAAACAGTGCTGGTGAACTCTGAGTGACCCCAAGAGTGGAGCAGGGGAGCCCTGCCCTGTGGAAAAGTAGAAGGCAATTGAAAGGTTCATAGGATTCATAGACTGTAAAGCTGGAAGGGACCTTGGAAGATCATCAGGTCGAGTCCCCTGCACCAAGCAGGAAAGATAACTGGGGAAGGGGTTTTCAATCCCCTCATTTGCATGGAAGAGGGATGGCTGGAGTGGCCAGTTTGCAAGCCAGGGAGGGACTGCCGGAGGGGATAAAAGCAGTAGCCGAACTGACGTGTAGGGCTGCTGACAGTGACTCCAGGGAACAACGAAGGAGGCCTAAGAAGAGTTGGGGTGAGCTGACCTAGCAGAGGGAGCAGAGAGACCCCTCTGAAGAGCTTTGAAGGCCCTGGGAGAAGAAGGCAGCAGCAGTCAGCCATGTCTCCAGCCCTGCAGGAGAGAGGGAGCAGTGGCCAGGGCTTGAGGCAGAGACCTGGTGCCTCAAGGCCCCATTGCAGTGTGCTAGATGTGCTGGGCGTCCTGGAGGCTAGGGGTGGCAATCGGCCCCCCACTTCACTGCAGAAAAGAAGCAGCGGCCAGGAGCACAGGCGGCATCTTGATCCGGAGCAGGGAGCTGGGCCAGTGAGTTGAGGAAACCCCTTCCCTTCCCTGGGGAAGCGGGACAGCAGCAGGCAAGGCATTGGGATCCTGAAGAGCAGCAGAGTGCCAGGACGAGGGTCCGCAGGAGCTTGGGGCGCGGGCCGGTGCTTGGAGCAGGGCTGGCGAGCTGTGAAGCGTGTGGGGCACCTGGCCAGTCATCTGGAGCAGGGTTTAGAGCAACGACCCCTGGGAGCTGCCTGTGCTGCAGGCGCTCTGCCACTGACTGCCCCAGAGGGGACTCAGTCCTGTCCCTTATTCTGCAGCTGATTGTCATTGGATGGAGTCCCTGAGCTTTGTGCTTGGGTCATGCTGATTTCTGCAGGAGCCTACTCTGTTGCTTGTTGCTTGCCTTTTTGGTTGCCACGGAGGGTCGCCCTTCAGCCTCTTTGAGGGGGTTGGGGTTTGATACAATTTGATTGCTGCAGACCAGAAAAGCTTAACCTGTTGCAGTCTGTCGCTTATTGGGAAGCCTGTGGGAGCTGCTGGGAGTGGTCATCTTGCTTCCTTGTGGTAGCATCTCAGCAGTGGCTGAAAGCTGCCAGTTACCCGACCTGCGGTTCTTGAGTCAAGGGCTGACAAATGCATTTGGGTTTGTTTTGTGATTCTGGTTATGCCATTTAAGTTCACTTGTAAATAACCTTTCCTATTTTTGTTTTGTAAATAAAATGTAAATAGTTAAATCAGTTAAGTGTTAGACCTTCCTGGGACAGGGGCTGCTCTGTGGGAAGCAGGGGCCAGCTGGGAAGTAAATTGGTGTTGGTCGGAAGCCCTGCCCCACTCTTGCCACACCATCCCTGATATTGAGCAGGGGTGGCAACTATTGGGCTGCCACCTGGGTTACATAATATATCTCATCCAGTGCATCAAATGCTCTAATAGAAAATATGTAGGAAAAATCAAACAACCGCGTACCAAAATGAACGCACACCAAAAATCTATCAAAGACAAGAATACCCAAACACTGGTGGGGGCACATTTCTCACAAGAAAACCACCCTCTCTTCAATCTCTGTTCTAATCTTCAAAGGGAATTTACAAAACAACTTTCATAGACTAGCCTATGAACTTCACTGTATCAACCTACTGGATACAAAAAAATCATGGACTAAATATAGACGTTGGATTTATGACACACAACCTGCCTGACATCTGACTCCCAAGGTAAACCCTCCACTTTTTACCTTTTACCTCTTTCTATCACTGTTTGGTGGTATTTCTAGGAAGCATTCTGGGCATATGTTCATATGGAAGCTGTCATACCAAACAGCACGTTTACTGGTTAGATAAAGAGGAAAAATAGAATATGATTGGCTAATCTATGACAGACTATGAAATTGGGCATCATTCTAAGCACTAAGTATTTCTGTCACTCACCTTTTTTTACCGTTCCTCCATAACATAAAAAATGAAAAACCAAACATAGCAATGCTACACAGCTCTAATTTAAGCATTTCAGGTAATATTTTCAAGTGTCTAGGTGACTTATGCTCCTAAATCCCATTTTTAATGGTTTGGGCACTTAGCACCAGTTTTTAATAAGTGTCTTAAGTCAGATTTCATAGACATGCAGGCTGGAAGGGACCCCGGAGGATCATCGAGTCCAGCCCCTGAAAAAATCCTGGACCTGGGGGTCCAGCCAGGAGCCTGGGCATACACCCAGGCTTGGGCTTGTAACTCTATGGGCCAGGAGTCAGCACACTCCCCTCTAGGCCACGCAGCTAGGTTAATTAGGTGCCTCTCTGTGACTGAATACCTCTGAAAATTTTATTTTCAATTACATTTAAGCTAAGATTTTTAAAAGTGAATTGTGATTTAAGGACATCTCAATTTTGGGGCAGAGAGGGGTGGAGTCTTGATTTAAGACATCTAAAAGGAATTGCATCTTCAGGAAGGGCTGAGCACCAGTATCCTGAAAATCAGCCCCCAAGGTGGCTTACATTTTGTACCCAAAGATCCAGGCACATAAACTTATTAGTTATTTTTTTTTAATTGTGACCCTTAGGGCACAGCTACATCTAGAAATGAGGCAGAGTAGCAGCCCCACACTGCCTACCCTGCATAATTTCTGGGCATTAATGGGTGAGTAATCTTTCTCCATGATGCTTCCAGCCCTGGCACAGAGGCTATGTAAATATACCTTTAGACCTTTAGGGCTTTGGAAAAAATTACCCTTGAGGTTCCAAACTCTGCCAAGCACTTAAGTATATGCTCTGAAGAAAAGGAACGGATTTCACCGGATGCCTAATTCTATGAGCTAAACTGCAGGCCAGAGGGATTCTCAAAATACCAGGCTCATCTTCCTCTGAAAACCCTGTTATCTTGGTATCAGCCAAATTCATTTGTCATGTTTCCAGAGACAGAGATTGCCTCAGACATCACTGCTAGGTTCAGATTTAGAGTAAATGAAAGGGAAAAGAGCTCAGCAGTCAAAAGTGAAATCCTTCCCTGCCTGCCTGAGTCATGCCAGGAATTCTAGCAAGCGGAACCCAAATCAGTGGAAAGGAACTATGTGAAATGGCAGGATGAGAAGTTTTGGAAAACAAAACCAAACCTCTGACTCCTTTATACTGTGAAGTTTTCAGTTTGAAGGCAAACTACCAAAAGATGTCAGGGTGGCAAGGATCTTGGCCACAGGCCCCAGTGCACCAAGAAAAAGAAAGTAAAGAGTTTTCAGAGTGCTGAAGGAAATGTATCATTCACAAAGTCCATAGGTTAAATGCAATCCCCACCATTCTCTTCAGAAAATGAAAAGTGAGAGACCAATGCTACTATGCTAAACGTATTCCAAAATATTCTACAAACTGAACAGGGTAGAGCAGGGGTAGGTAACCCCCAGCACGAGTGCATGGCACACGAAGGTATTTAGCATGCATGCCTCAGGGCAGATGGCAGGGAAGGGGCCTAGACTGTGCTGCCATAACAAAGATCAGGCCCCTTGCGGCTCCCCCACTATCCGCCCCGGCACGCCAGCATCGTACAAGTTGAGGTTGTGGGTGTTTTTGACACTGCTCAAAAACTTTGCCAACCCGTAAGATAGAGTTTCCCATATGCAAATGAGAGAATTGACCAATATGTTTGCCACTTACACACAAATATAGACAATCACCTTGCTGGGGTCGTTTGAGGCTAGACAATCACCTTGCTGGGGTCGTTTGACCCCAGTACTCTTTCCTGCCATGGCAGGGGGTTGGACTTGATGATCTGCTCAGGTCCCTTCCGACCCTACTAACTATGAAACTATAACTATGAAACTATATTTGCCAGAGAGTAGTAGTAACCCTAGGCAGCTGCCAGATGGCAGTCTTTACTAACAATAAGGCCAGACATGAATAATGTAGTTTATAATAAGGGTTCCAGACATTGCTAGATACACGTAAGTGATTAATTGTAATCCAATTGCAATTCCACAGCATTTTTCAAAAGTTGCTTTGGTAACATTTATTTTTAATGATACCAACTATATGAAGCCTAAGTATTCCAACACATGCATTGTTGTAGCATACTGTTAGAGCAAACAGGGAACTTAGATATAAAAGTCAGGAGGTAAAGCCTGAAAAATACTGCTTGACATGCAAGTGGATTTGTTTCACTGAAGAACTCCTAGGCCCAAATTTTATCTTACAGAGATGTCTATTTTGAAAATTATAACTCCTCGATCCATTGTCAGGGGG